AAGTCAGCTAATTTATCATTCTCTGGATTTCTGCTGTCACATCTAAGATCAGATCCATCTCTTGAAGTCAGGAACACTGTGACAGCAGGTCTCAGTCACTTGCAGGACAGGAGCCCAGCAAACCTTGGAGCAGTCAAGGAGAGCAGCCCCCTCTTGTGCTCTCCACAGCAAGTCCAGGCAGATCAAAAGGTACCCCCTGCCCTGTGCGTACAGCAAGCTGCTAGTCTGGAGGCACACAATCCTAGCAACAGCTTCTAGCTGCAGTTCAATTATGCCCACTGAAACAATCATACAATATCCTCTAATACCAAGAAAGAGAGACAGGCACTGCAGTATTACAGACAGCACAACCCCGGCCTTCGAAGGGCCATGCAAAGATGCACACAGCCCACAGGGCTCTGTCTGAGAGCAAAAAAGACGCACACAAAGCGCTCCGATTCATGCTGGATGGATACAAGCAACCGAGTGAAAAGCCTTCTCTACATTGTTCCCAAACAATCTCAATACAACTCACACGTCAGCCGGGGCACTGGGCACTTGGTACTTACAAGAGGTTTTGCTGTGTCTGCCGCTGCCGGAGTCAGAAGGGGTGTATACGACTCAGAGGGAAGGTGCATGGAGCTGTGCAGAGTGGCTCTCCTGCCAGCGGGGCCTGGAGGGATGGGAAGAAGGGCCCCAGCCCCTCTTTGGGCCCCAGAGGCAGCAACACTTGTTCGCGGAATGGAGTGCAAAAAGGCTGGCATTCCTACAGCGGCAAGGACAATAGGGAGGGATGAGGAGGCGCTGCCATAATCAAATGCAGGCCAGCTGGCCCTCCCCCAGGAAGGGCAGGCACCTCCTTCACTTGCCAAAGGCTTTGTTTTCTAAGCCACAAAGAACAAAGTGGCTGAGGAGGAGAGGCAGAGGAGGAGAGCAGAGGAGAACCTGCTGTGGGGGCAGATCCACACGTGAGCACAGGTAACCCACTACGAGAGAGATGTCAACACAGATGGAGAGGGGCTGGGCAACAGTCTGACCGCTCCAAGCAGGGCTCAGAAGCAGCAGCTCCTTGCATACAGCAGAAAGAAGCTGGGGATGGCTGGAGATGACTACTGAAGAACCAGAATTGGAACAGGCTGATGGCCAGAGGTCCTCTGAGGGAAGGGATCCAAGGGTGGCAGAGACAGAACACCACTGAAGGAACAGCTTGTTGGAGCAGAGCTCAAAGAAATCCCAACAAAGGAAACGCTACCATTTCTCAACCAGCCTCACCCCACCAATCTCTCAGAAAGCAAATGCAAGGCAAGGGCCCAAGATGCAAGAGGCTCCCAGGCCACGGCAGAGCAACGCCCACACTTTCCCCGAGCACCAAAAGAGGCAGCGTCTTGCACAACATCCTGACAAGCAGGAAAAAGCCCCTGGAGCTGCCTCAGGCCCTCCTGTAATGATACAGGCAGTTCAGCTGTGAGGCTCTGGGCACCACACCACCACAGGGCTGCAGGGTGTGCAGGTGCTGAGCCGGTACGATGGGACTCTGCCCTTTCTGGTTGGGTCAGTGCTTTCTTCCAGAGTGACTTTTGCCAGCAAGTGTCACGCACCTTTGTGGCCAACCTTCTGAAGGACAGGTTGTCTTCCCAGGGCTGGCAGAGATGGTGCTGTGTGCTCCAGGACATTAGACATGCCACTGCGAGTTAGGTTAGTTGCAGTCCTGACAGGGCACACTGCTCTCACATGGGCCATTTCAAGCCTGCAGTCCAGGCAGCTGAGCACTTTGCTTTTGGTAAAGTCAAAAGCATGCAGGAGACCTGGGATGTAAGACTGACCTGGGAAATAACCACCAAAGAAACCCTGAGAAAGGAAAAAAATGTGAAGGCTAACAAGGTAAGCAAGGAGAGGGAGACTTGCTCTAGGTCTTCCTGGTAATGCTAGTGAGCCCACAGCAGCGTTACTGTGAAGCCAGGATAGGCGGTGGGAGATAAGGGTACTGGGGACTGCCCTTACAGGCACCCCAGAACAAAGCAGACATCAGTGCTTTTGGTACAACATACACACCCTTGCTTGCTCAGCTTCCCAGTTCTTCCCCAAAGCACTGTGATGCCAGATCCCAACACAGTCTTGGAATAGAGTAAACAAGGGACAGTGGCCAGACCAGGCTTGAAGCCTCAGGAAGATGGCACGTCCCCGAGTATGACCACACTGAATTTGTGGTACTGAAAAACAATTCTCTGCCTGCAGTCAGAGATGAGGAAGGCAGCTTCCTTCATCACTCCTCCTGCCTCAGCCCAGCCATCATCCAGCCCTTGTCAGGCACCAAGAGCTCCCGCCACAAAGGAAGCAGGGACAAATGGAAACATCCAGCTTGGCACTGGTCATGGCTTTGGGGAGGGAACCCTGCCAGCCCATGTGCAAGCTCCACGTGGTCTGGCCCAGCTCCGCCTGCCTCATGGCAGGGAGCTCTGGCAGACCATCAGGAACTACCAAGCAGTGAAAAAACACAGTAGTGTCTTGATAGCCCACATGGGGTTGTGCTGTCCTGTCCCATGGCCTGTCCGACAGCCACAGGCAGCACCCTACAAAACACTTGCCCACCGCATGCAGAAGAAGGGCCAGCAGAACAGAGCCTCGCATTCCTAGTAGTCAGCGAGGTGCATGAGGGATGAATACCACGATCCCTCTGGTGAGCGCTCCGCTCCCTTGGCACACACTGAGATGTTTGAAGAGATCTGAGCTTGCCAGCTCATTACTGTCATGTACCTTGCTTACGCATCCTCAGGCTTCTTCCCCAAATCCTGGGGTCTGGCACACTGCAGGCTCTTTACAAGAAGGAAAATCGAGGACATTGCTTAGTGTAGACTCCTGCTATTGATATCCCCTCAGATGCAGGGGAGAGAGAAGCGTGTTAGGCAGGCACAGACAAGATCACTGCAGGAAGGTCAAAGCAGCTCAGCATCAGAAGAGAGTAAAATCAGTTTAGATAAAATCTTTTGCTTTCCCCCCACCTCCCAGACCATATCACTGACTTTGCTTTAGGAAGGCAGAAAGCATTCTAGAGATCAAGATCAAAATAATCTGCACTGAAAGAACTTTCATGCTGCGCAGTGATTTCCGCACTCGTCCCACACCTGCAGGATGCATCCCCCCACACCCCTGGTTTCGATTGGCCACCGGTTCACAATACACACATGTTATATTTCCAACACCAGCATTGTTTGTAGTTCTACTGAAACCAGCGAGATGAAAATCCTCCTCCCTCAGCCCTCACCAAGTGAGATACCTCTCCTCCACACCAAAGCAGTGTACAAACACGCTGTGCCACTATCATTCCATTTTCACTGGGGCTGAGCAGCACGAAAGGCACAACCAGGAACGATGATGCTGCTGCTGCTGCCAAGGACTGCACGCCCCAGTTGCCATCCACCAAAAAGAAGCTGTATGAGCGGTGCCGTGATGCTCTAAGAACTGGTCCAACTTCGGGATCTGTATAACATCTATATGCCCCTAGGAACAGCCCAGGCTTTGAAAGGCTTTGAAGCTGTGGAAGAACACCCATTGCTGTCGAGTCATGTCTGACTACCCTGGCACGGAAGAGCTACTGCCACAATGTAGTGCCCGTGCCTGAATGGAGAACGGAGCAGCCATCATGTGCTACAGTCCACATCTGTGCTCCAGAGGTCTCCAACTTTAGCTGGCCAGGTTCAAACAGGACCAATGTTTGGCTTGGCCACAGAAACCATCTTTCCCATGATCCTTCCCAGGACGGCAAGGGGTGTTCAGGGACCAGATCCCGAACGCCTGTGCTCAGTGAGCGAGCAGAGCACAGGTTCTTGCCATTCTCCCACAGCACAGGAGGCACTTTTCTCTCCACTGTGGGGGGGAGTGGGGAATAAAAAAAATGACACATTCCCACAGCAAGAGGGTCCCCCACCTCCACAGCAAACTGCATAGAAGAGCTAGGGTGGACCTGCAGAGCATCACCAAACAAACTCAGTCCTCATACATCCTGACAGCAATGTTCTGGGCTGCCTTATCCACTTTCCTCCCTCGCACAGGATGCTCCTTGATGTTTTCACGTTTAGCTGAATTTCCTCCCCCCTCCCCAAGCACTTCTGGCTGCCAAGGCAGCTCAGAGACAGCAACTAAGTGGCACCTACATCTGGTACAGCTTAACTTTTAGTGTCTATTCTTTCTGGAATTTGAGAACTTCAATACCCAATGTTTGTACAAGTGTGGAATAAATAGAGCACAGGCTCCCTGGCCTTCTGTACTTGCCAAAGCTGTATTTTAAAATGCACTTAGAAAATCCTGTTGTTTATTCATCTGCGGCTTTAGAAATTAAAGGACACCAAATCCAGCTGCAGGTCTGCTGAATGGGTGCATTTGCATTAAACGAAACAGGTCAGAAGGCCAGGCACTCAACATGGTCACCACATGCATCCTCTCCTCCTGCTCCCCAGATGCCTGGTCCAATCCAGTCCCCTTGTTCCCTCAGCCACACTTCCCAGCACCCCATTCTGGTGCTCCGTGTCCTCATGCAGGCCTCCACACAAGAGGGGTTGCACTATATTTAGGGCTGAATAGCAGGACACTATTCCTGATGTGTCACGCTGAGTTCACCAGCATGTAAGGACACAATACAAACAACATGCAGACAGCCTACCCTGGCCGAGACTGGACACAAGCAGCCAATCTCTTGGCCCTTGTCATCAGAGCCAGCACTGCCATGATCCTTCTGTCCACTGCAGCCATGAGAGGGGCCTAAAAGTACGGCTAAGACAGCAGAAGACCTCTATTCTTAACAGATGCAGACATTTTCTTGAACATACACCCTCCCCTTCTTCCATATACCGACTTGAAAAAAAATCACTGCAGACACATGAGCATGAGGGGGCTTTTGTAGGTTATAGATCCAGCTCCCTGTTGGTGCACACACTATGTTTCACATCTTTCAAACAACCAAGCTCTGGGCTGAGTCCAAGCAGGCTTTTTACACCCTCCTCTGTGCAGCAGATGCCTTGTCTTACCTTGTCAAAGAATTCATACAGTCTGACGGTCTCACAGATTCGGTGCCTGTTTTCATCCAGCTGAGTGCAGAACTCTTCCAGTTGATCTTTGTAGGTCTGCAGCTTTACCCTGTAAGAATGCACATCCACAGAGGAAAAGTCTTCCCATCGATCCATCTTCTTTAGTGCTTCCTGCCCCCTTCTGCAATATTCCTGAAAGCAAAATGGGATTGCATATGAGCACAGAGACATGACGTGGACAGTAGATAGTCTTCAAAGTCATTAACAGCTAGGGCTAATTATGCTATTTTTAAACATTCAAATCACATGAGCAGGTGTGTACTTGTTTACAGCAGAATTCTGTAGCCACACAGCAGCTTGCAAAGGCCTACACAGCATGGCCACAGGTCAGTTAGGATCAAAAAAAAAGCAGTGTTACAAGCACATTAAGGGAGTAACAACAACAACAAAATCCATCTTCCATCACAGTAGTTATTTTCCTCAAGACTGGCAAACACCATCTAAGGCACTGAGCTGCTGGCTTCGTCTACAAGAGAACAGGGAAGCTAAACAGTGTGAAGGAATGACACACACCTTGGTGATGAACCCTCTATCAATGCCATCTTAGCATTGTGGGTTTGGCTGAGCACCTACAAGGCACAGATGCTACCAACGCAGACTCTGGAGCATACATTTTTCCAATCAGACAACACTTACACTGGCAACAAGATCAAACTCCCTGAACTGCTTTTGTGCTTGAAGCAGCATCTCCAAAGAGTCATCCAGGTTGATCGTTTCCTTTAGCCGTTTTCTGCCAACATTCTCAATCCAACTGCTGACCTAGGAGAAAAGGGAAAAGCTCTACTATTAGTCATCCTGTGCTACTCACCAAGGTAGGCCTTTATGTGGAAAGAGCAAGGAATTGCTCTCCTAACACTGGTCATTTCATTACTGGAAAGAATGTGCGTGTACACTTCTGCCCCCATCCTGACATTTCAGTCTGAGCCTCCTGCTAGTAGTTTTTCCACTTCAGGTTACCGAGTAATTGCAAAGCTCTGCTATTGCTCACTAGCCTTAGGCATAAACAGGGCAAGTAGCTGCTTGGGCTCTGTTTTAGGTGAGCTAAGGTCTAATGTGAGCTCTACAACCTGCAGGCTGGCCTGATATTCCTATTATTGTTACCCCCAAGTGGGACAAAATCTGCCGGCTGCCAGATTCCCCACATCACTTCCCTTTTCTGACTGGCAGGACATGAACTATGTCAGTGTGAATGTGCTGATGGATTCTTCCCATCTGCAATGTTTCACAGTTCTCTGGGACTCTCAGCTACTGGTTTTCCCAAGGCAGCTCACCACAAATCCATGCAGTAACTGCAGGTTCCCTGACAGAGCCCAGCCACTGTCACTGCCACAGTTACAAGCCTATATCCTCAAACGTGGGTAGAGAACTGATGAACAAGGGTGTCCTAAAAGCAAAGCAGACACAGGAGGCCAGGCAGGATAACACAGTATCTCCATCAACAGCGGGTTTTAAAAACAGGCTAGTAAACTTGTCTGCAATGCTTCAGGCATAGCTGCACCTGGGGGAAGGGGCAGACTAAATGCTTCCTAACACCCATGCATCCTGTTTTCCTGTTTATTGTCTAAATCCCATCATAATCCCAACTCAACCCCACCCCACAGTCAAGGACAAACTCCTAGTCTTGTGGACTGAGGAAGAGACTGAGAGCTCATGGAATTCCCAGGCTGTGTCCCATACTGCAGAGGGGCACACTGCTGCTGCCTAGAGCTCCCAGGCAGGCTTAAAAGCAGGAGCAGCTGCTGCCATCATTGGTGATCTGCAAGCAAAGTAAACTGGGAGCACTCAGTTTTGCTCAATTCAATCAAAAAAAGTTCAGTTTAAAGCAGGGACAGATTGCAGAGCCTGCCTTTGTGCCTTTTTTCATTTCTGTTTGGTATTAGGAACCTGTGTGTTTAAGGGAGTCTTTACTAGACATCACACTTCTTGTCCTGAACACATAGTGCATGGCGCCCGAGTGTCTACCTCCAAATGGGAAATCATTAAAACTCTTGGATACACCTTGGCCTGTGAAAATGACAGGTAGGCTACAGCCTCCTTTGCAAATCCAGTCCTCACCAGAGGAGAAGGGCCCAGAATCCTGGAAAAACAATGGTGAAACTGGCCCTAGTGTTGATCTTTAAGGATGCAGGTTCCTAAGCTGAGCTCCAAACAGCACACAAACCTTCACACACACACTGTTATAAGTGATACATAAAACTTCTCATTGTTGACGAGTTACAGCAAAGGATACTATGCAACTCCATACTCTTGAGGTTGAGCTCAGGCTTAGGGATCCTCAACACTGAGCATTTGGAATCTGCAATATTTGAATTGATCAGATCTTGTAGGATGCTCAGATAGCTTGAGCTCCTTTATGACTTAAGGTTCTGTATCTACATGGCTACAGGTTTCAAAGGTCCTTCTGAAAGCCACTGCCTGTTTGCTTCAGTTATCCCATGGCTGTAAAGAGTTTCAATGAGCACCACATGAAAGGAATTTTAAGCTCCCACAGAAATGCAGGGGGGTGGGGGCATTCAGCATGGCTTTTGGGCTAAGGACAAGAGGCTGTTCCCCTGCCTGGAGACTGCATATCGAGCTGCACCCAGAGGTGAAGGAGTGTGCCTGGGGCTTATCAGACAGCAGGGACCCGAGCACTGCACAGGAATCTAAACAGAGTGCACAGCGGGGATGGACAGCTAGTGTGGGGTACGCACTGTGTGGTTCATTCAGGATGAACATAGGCAAGCCCTGCAGGATCTACAGCCCAGAGGGGACATGCGGACTCATCATCAGCTTGTTGCTATCACTCTGCTGCTTCTCAAGGTGAAGCATGAAGAATGGCTCCTCAACAGTCTTGCTGGGAGGGTACTTTTGCTGACCAACATAAACAGACACCCCACCTCTAAGTGACTGCCTACCTACGAGCCACTATACTGTGGTCTTTAAGTCTGGAAAAACATTACAGATGTTTATGGGGTTTGACTGATCCACACTGATAGAGGTAGCAGCCAGGAGACTTTTACCTGGCATAAGGAGATACCAGGCACCACAGAGGCTTGGTTCTCAGCGCATCTGAAAAATCTCTCTTAAGTTTTTATGTTCATACGTTCTTTCTAAGGGTCTACAGGCACCATTCCACACCTTCACACAAGAGATCAACGGGTCCAGTACCTGCTGTGGGATGCACGGTCAGAGGGTGGCAGCAGGCAGTCACTGGAACTGACAGACAGGCCTTACCTCCTTAAAACACTCTTCCACTTTCTCGAACTCCATCACCAGCTCCAGTTCCTGGATACGCTTGTTTGACAGCATCACCAGCCGATGAACGCCCTCATCAACGCGATTATAAAGCACGCTGGCAGCATCAAGCGCGTCTCTGGAAGGGGACACAAGTCTGGTCAGGGGTTTTGCATTAGGTCCTTCCCCCAGTGCTTCACACAAACAGGACCTGGCTAACAGGAGCGCTTCAGTCATCCTCCCCATATAGAGAACACAAGGAGAACAATGCTGCTCCCTGCCTGTTCCCGTGATTCACCCTTCTGATCCCAATGCAGACAACCTGGCAGGAAGGACAAGAGCATCTCCTCCCAACCAGGGTCCTTGCAAAACTTAGCGTACTTGTCACACTTTCAGACAGGATACTCAGCTTTTCATAAATGCAGATTATTGCATCAGTGGGCTTTCACAAAGCACAGGCTCAGGCAGTCTCAGTGTCTAAAACCACCATTTTAATGTAATTTAATTAAGTAAACAAGCAACAGTAGGAAGCAAGTCTCTCCTAAACGACCACAACATAAAGCACTTGATGCCCTACTCGCTCTCAGGAATTTCCACCAGCCAAACAAAAATGCAAAGCGTACCGCACCCCAGCACCAAGAGAAATTGAATTTTACGATGTTATGCTGGAAAGATTCAAAGACAGAGCTCCCTGTCCTGCACAGACAGCTGTACTGACCAAAGCACAACAGGCAACAGCCAGCAGCACTCTCCCTGCCAGCCTGGCCACAGCAGAAGTTAACCTCCTCCGTGCCCAGGCAGGGATGGAGGGGTTCAGGCCACAGCTCAGTGCCCTGGCATGCTGGAGCCAGGGACTTGGCACATCCTGGTAAGGTGATTCATGATAGCAAGTTCCTTTCAGATGTGTGCAACACCTCTCCAGCACAGGTTCGGGTGAATTATAGAGAGGATCCAGGAGACAGAATAGCATTCAGGCTTGTTCGTTCTTTTTCATATTTCTTCTGCTTCTAGATTTCCCCTCCTTTTACGATTTTTTCCATTACTACAGTTCCTTCAACTGTGCTCTACACCGGCATGTTCAGATGCCTGAGCATCTCCTGTACTCACCCTACACCAGCTTTCATTTTGCAATGATTTTTCAACTTTCCGGCTTATGAGAGCATGGCTTTTTTTAACATATTATTAAAATTACCCAAAGCACTTGTGAAATAGGGAGCTAGTAAAACTCTGAAAGCTTTGCTAATGGAAATTAATACAAGCAATTCAGCAGACACGTTTATTTCTGTCTTGGGTTACAGGCAATCTTGAACATATGAAATGCAACTGAATATGAGCATTTAGTGGCAATCATCCTGTAGTTTTTAGGTATTACTTAATTGACATGAGGTAGTGCAATAGGTTTGGACAACTAGCTCTGCATAGCAGAAATCCACAGGATTTTTCCATTCAGAATTCCACCCAGTGTGCAACAGCCAAACTTCTCAAACCTCAGGCTCTTAGATACTTTTGTTTTTCCTCTTCAAAATGCCATTAGACTGAATGAACTTCTCCAAAGTGCAGCCAAAAAAACCCAAATTGTTTCTGGACCAAGATCAGTGCTACTGCAGTGCAGAGGAGACAGGTTCTCTACAGAGAATCTGCAAGCTTCAATGGAAAGATCCGAGCTGTAATGCTGCTCCCGCATTTCCCGAAACCATCATAAACAAGACAGTGATGATAGAGGCCTTCTGTTTTGTAATCCTTCCCTAGGAACGAACACAGATCCAACCCAGGAGACTTGCAGCAGCAGAGCCATACACTGTCCAAGCTGAGCTCTGGAAAGTGTGTTCACAGAGCAGGTTGTGAAGGCCGGTTCCCGTCAGCAGCAGTGACACAGCTAGGGACAAGGTAATGAGAAACAGTTCGGAAGATCGCTGGAAGTTCTATTTGGCAGCAACATTAATGCAGTTGGGTTTTGTGCAGCAGAGCCTATCTGTCGGGTTCTTGTTTCTGAATAAGGCTCCAGCAAAACACAATACTGATGGCCAGACAGGCAGACACCTTCGGTCTTACTCCCATGCGTCTGAAGTCCTGCTCTCATCCACTCTGGAAAGCACACTGATACCCCAAATACTTTTCCTCCTGCCGGCGCTGACAAACAAGCACCTATAACTTTAGACATTACAGGCTGTTATATGTAAACATTTGCAATTATCCTCTCAAGAGGCAAAATATTTTTCCAACCTTTCTCAGAGCTTCCATGGAAATCACTTTGGTGTTGATGCTACTTCTTTGATGGTACTCGTCAACAAGCTAGATTGACCTGCTAGACCTTTCTGTAATGAGAGCCCTTATGTCCACCCAAGCCCATGAGAAAGCAAGCATGCATGGTTTCAATGCGTATCGAGCTCTTGCAAGATGGTAACTTTATGGCGTAGCAACTGGAAACAAGAGTTCCAGCTCTTGCGTTGGCTGACCTAGCACAGAGTGGGATCCGATATAGGGGAAGGGAGTCATGGAGTCCCACTCCACTCCTTGCCAGACCTGATAGAGGAAACAGCTCTCCAGTTGTCTCAAATTTGAGCAATTTTCCTTGACAGGAGTCAGTCATGATCTGGGCTGCAAGGCTCTAAAATATTACAGACTCCCATGTAGCAGACAGCACATTTCCCAAAGTCACAAAACATAGGCTGTCCTAAAGACAACACTGCAGCTATGGGAAAAAAAAATCACTCTCAGGGCAAAGGGAGAGGAAGCAATTACAAAAACAAACAATTTTATTTTTTTTTTTTTTTTTTTTTATAATAAACAGCTCACTGTGTACGGAGGTAAATTCACCATGCCATCATGGACAAGACCAGTCTCTTGGAGCACGCTTGAGACCAGTATTGGCCTTATGACCCGCAAACCACGCCAGGGAAAGTTAAGGTTCAAAAATGCAGCAATAAAATACTATTTCTGGCCCACCCAACCAAGCCCCAAGGAGCCCACTTCAGGAGGAGGGGCTCGGGTGAACTGCTTGCTGCTGAGCTGAAAGACTGAAAAAAATCCACCCCAAACAACACTCTTCTGGCCCCAGACATATTCTTTCCAAAAAAGGGATCATCCCAGAGTATTGGCAATACTGGAAAAATAAAGGGGCAGACTGTGAAAATCTCAGTCAGACCAAGTTTTCACAGCATTTGCAGAAAGTGGTAGGGAAGGACCAAGCTAGAGCCTTGCAGTTTAGAAAAGAGCACTCAGCCCTCTGAGCCATCTGATGCAATCCATGTCCCGGCAAATAATGTGGCAGCTACACACACAGTCATCTTCACTGTACCGATGGAACTAAAAATGACACCCTTTTACTGAATGCACACATGGAAATCCTTTGCTTCACTGATCCACAGGCATCTCAGACTTACCTACAGTCAGTCTAGGATGCATTTGGGAGTTTGTAAGATAAGCAGGAACTGGACATTTCAGGAAATTAGTTCTCGTTTTTATCTGTAAGTTGGGCTGTTTAGGGTATATATCATTTTCTAAAATCCCTTACTCTTAAGTCATTTTGTTTCCTGTGAATGCTTGCAGCAGGCTATTGATACACTTACCAGGGCACAACCCAACACCCTAAGGCTGCTCCTTCTCTCTGTCCTGCCCATGGTTTGCTGAGTGACTGCACACACTCGCCCAGAAAAACAATGTTTCGAAATGGCTCCTCCGGGCTCAGAGCCCCAGAGGGACTTCAGGTGTGGCCTTACAGATCCCTCCTCCTCTGCTGAGTTCCTCCAACATCCCAGCACCTCAGTCTTTTGTTTCATGGTCCAGCCATGCCGTTTTCACATTCTGCCTCACTTGGCAGGCATTCATTAAAACCTCAACATCTAGCTGTTGGTCTTCTGTTGCATCTCCACGGTAACTCCATTCATATGTTTTCAGCTCCCAATAGTTTGCTTTTACCAGCTCGACAGGCTCTGACTAACATCCATCTTTTATTCTCTTACACAGAGGAAAATATAACCCTTTCCACCCTGTAGTATAAAGTAGGTAGGCAAACTGAGCCAAAGAAATCACAGTCCATGGGAAAGTTTTGGGTTTTCCATTCACTTGGGCACTTCCAGCGCTCACAGAAAGTATCCGTCAGGTATTAAGCACATTCTCCCAAATCTCTGTACATCTGTTTACCTATTTACACACACCCATCCATTTGCTGATCCACCTCTTGAAAACTTCTAAATCATTTGTAGTAAACTCAATGATCTCTTCTAACAGGAAGTTTCATGGGAAAATGATACCTTGCATAACTCACTATTTCTTTTTCAGAGTCAGACTTTGAAGTTTTTCATTCCTGTCCTTCATTGCCTTCAAGGCAGCTTGGAGTAAACAAAGCAAATACTGAAAATTTCATTGAAGAAGAAAAAGTGACTTCCATCCTGCTGCACAAAGGGCAACACCTGGTTGTTATGTACCTTAAAGATATTTTAATAGTGACCTGTGCAACTCTGAGGCAGAAGAGCCGAGAGTTGTTTGAAGTCAGTGGAAAGTCTTGTCTAAGCTTAGATTTGTTTGGATGCATTGCAATTTCCCTGCACATGTGAGTGTGGTAATAAGAGTCTCTCGCTACATTCTTCCACAGTCAAATCATCCAAAGCAATTTTGCAATAGTGCAGAGTCAATATAATTTATAGCAGAAAGGAATAGCTTGATGTCAGTTTATGTTTCTCCAAATCCTGTTTTCATTGGGCAATTATCATTTCAGTGGAAAATGTTCCAAACATCTTCAGTTTTCTGGAGAAGTGCCAAGCAGTTGTATAATGGTAGGGTAATTTTAAACCTATAATTTAGAAAGACCATTTCTGTCTGAATCCATCCTTCAAAAAAAGCTACCCTTGGAGAGTTACACTTTAGTTTTCAAAGCAAAATACCTGATTTGTTTTAGAAAATAAATGGCCACAGAAGAGGCATCCAGCAGGCTTGCAAAAGCAGGTGCTGCACAAGCTGTGCCTGCCAATGCCAGCAAGACGCAAATAGAAGAGCACAGGGAGGGAAGCAGTAGTACCATTACTATCTTGCAACTTACTGTCTGCCCCTTGAAAAACTGCTCTATCCAACAGCCACAGGAACAGTGAGTGAAGGCTAAAACTGGAGCTCATCCTCTGACTAGCCTGGGTCAATTTTAAA